CTTAAAGAACTGAGCTAAGGGGCAGGCCTCCGGGTTTTTATATTTTAATAGAGGTGTTTGACCCTTTCATACTTTTTATGGTACTTGCCAGGTTGAATTGTTCACGCCATCTTTTATACTGATAGTAATGATTTCTATCTATTTCTTACTGACTTTTTTTTTATATCAGTCCAGTAGTTCAAATTTCATTTTGAAGCCGGGGAGACAGCTCAGTCGATAGAGTAAGTGCTTGCCTGGCAAGCATAAGGTCCTGAGTTCAATCCCCGGTACCGCCAAAAAAAAATAATAATAATTTCAGTTTGAAGTCCTAGTTGTTTTTTTTCTTTTTTAACATTAAAAAGTTGCAGGTTAGCCAAGGAAACAGTTCTAGTCCAAAAGGATTTTTAAATGACACTCAATTACAGAGCATTATGGAATTTGACCCTTCTGTTCCAGCTTTATCAAGGGCTTTTGGATATTTATATTCATTGTAATGAATTTTGGTATTTATATTCATTGTAATTTACCTTTCAAATTGTAAAATAAACCCTTGTAGGAACAAAAAAAGTTTAAATCAGTATTCCTTTACTGTCTTTATGGTTGAAATAGTATGTATGGTATCTTTTTCTTCTTCTTCTTTTTTTTTTTGGTCTTTTTGAGACAGTCTGTCACTATCTTTCTATGTAGTTCAGGCTAGCTTTGAGCTCAGTTTGTACCCTAGGCAGGTCTCTTCTGCCTCAGCCTCCCCAGTGTTGGGATTACAAGCTTGGGCCAACACACCAGGTTTTGGGGCTAGCACGGTGTACCCAGGGTTCCCAGGCCAGCAAGCCATACAGTACCACAGATCAAACCTAGGTCCTTGCGCTTGCCAGGCAGGCACTTAGACTGCCGAGCTATCTCCCAGTCCATGGTATCCCTTCTTGAATAAACTTTTTCAAATTTTTTATTATAGAATTTTGAACATACAAAGGAGTAGAGTAATAAATATTGTGCCCACATATACCCATCGTCTGCTTCAACTAACACCAACCTGTAACCAATCCTACTCTATTCCCACCCTCTTCCTTTTCTGAAATTTTTCTTCTCTAATACTATTTTGAAGAAAAACCCAGACATCATATAAGATCAAAATTTCAACATGTTTTTACCTTCACCTTTTAAGACCTGGAATTTTCTTATTTTTCTCTTTTTTAAAAAAATTTTATTTATTTATGTGTGTGTGTGTGTGTGGCCAGCTCAGCCCACCAGGGGGCGGGGCTGGCTGGCATGTGGTGCTGGGGGGATTGAACCGCAGTCCCTGTGCTTTGCTAAGCTTGGTCTAAGTAGGTGCTTTAGACCACTGAGCCATCTCACAAGCCCCAAGACCTGGAATTTTCAAGGAGTTAAAAATAGTATGAAAATTGGAAAGAAAAGTAACCATATAAGAAGCCTGTAATGCCACAGTTATGGAGGAGTCAGAGAAGTGTTGTAGAGAAACGTCATTTGTTTAATGAATGAATAAGTGAACCAGTAAGAGATAGAGAGAAATTTAGAGCAATGATAGTTGGAGTGACAAGGATGGTTGCATAAGCTCAGCGCTAAAAAGGCTCTTTACCCTTGCGTGACTGAGTGAGTGTGGGCATGCAGGAGAATGTGGTAACCGGCTTTTAAGACCAAGTGACCAGCAGGTTGATGATGACATTTACTCAGATGGCAGACATGGAAAGATTATGTATAGCAAGGAACAATGAAAATAATGAACAAACACTGGTCTCAAGGTGGTTTTGTGTCATTATTTCTTATCCCAAGCAGAGATTCTATTCTTTTCTTAATTGTTTGTTTGTTTTGAGACATGGTCTCATTGTGGAGTTGAGGCTGGACTTGAACTTACTTGAACTCAGGATGATCCTCCAGCCTCGGCCTCCTGAGTGCTGGGATCCCAGGTGTGCGCCACCTTGCCCAGCCAGATTCCATTCTCAGCTCTTTGCCTCAAGCCTGTTTCTTTCCCTTCTAGTGATTGCCAAGTGACATGGGTCTCAGGCCAGGCTCGTAATGAGACGATAGCAAGGCGGCTGTGGGACGTCAGCTGTGACCTGCTGGGCCTCCCAGTGGATTGACAGGTGGCGGCAGTTGGACCCAAAAGAAGACTGCAGCCACTGATACAGTACTCCCTGCCAAATGATCCTCCTCCAAGATGGCCAAAGAGAACACCAGGAGCAGAACCTTCCAGCCTGGCTGGATGGTGTCCAGCTACGTCTCGGCATGCAGCCGGACCTCACATTTGTCTAGACCCACTTTCTTCCTCTACTGCTGGAGCATTCTGTGCCTCTCACTGGATAAGATGACCTCATATAACCTACGCAGCTTATTTTCAATCTGAAATTTCCTCCTGTGCAGGAGGATAGCGAGCCCTTCCCAGACCATGATGAAACCCAGGAAGTTGCTATTTGTAATCCCATGGAAAAGTTACAGGAATCCTAGGAAGTTGATTCCAGTCTACCACTTCCAGAGCAACCCATGGTGTGAAGAAAGACACTGAAGCATATTTGTGGGTATGGGGAGCCACAGGTCCTAAGTCCGGCCATAATGATGGCTCTCCAGACAAAGGCCTCGACCCAGGGCCGAACCCGAGCTTTATTGTGAAGATGTCCATCCCGCCAGGCTCACATGTTTATTTGGGAGCTATGGGGTGGGGGTGAGGGGATGTCAGGGGAAACACTGCCCTGTCGTCTTTGCTTCAAGGACTACACACTTGCGCCTCAGCTGGGCCGATTGGCATTGCTTAGAGCCAAGCGAGGGGAGCAGGGGAGCGCCTAGCCAGCTCTGCACAGAGCAGTCCATAGAAGTAGGGTCAGGTTCGGCCAAAATGGAGACAGTTACTCTTCTTTCAAAGACAGTCATCCAGATGGCCCTCCACATCGGAGGATCTGTGCTCTGGCAGGGTTGATGTATGGGAATGTGGACTGGCTTTTATCCTCTTTTTCACACTGTAGTTCCTTCCAACCAAAAATAATCCTTCAAGAGGGGGCCATGTTGCCACCTTGGCTGAACCTCACAAGTCACCGTGGTTTTTTATTCTTTTCTCCTGGTACCAGGGATTGAACTCAGGACCTTGTACTTGCCAGGCAGGCACTTATTCTACTGAGCTATCTCCCTGGCCGCCTCAGTGGCTTGTCTTAAGAGCAGAGCTTCATAGCACCAGCAGAATTCTTCCAGGAAACTTCACTGAATCTGTATTGTGGCCTGGCCTTAACTGACAACCTAGAGCCACTGATGTTAGGATATTTTCCCACGTCTACACCACAGAGCAGCTGCCTTCCCTAAGATGCTGGGGGACTTGGGGGAGGACAGATGTAAAAACCACATTAAACGATCATGTTCCTGTCCTTGCTCAGGCCAATAATGAGGTAATAAAAGGAGTACTATGACAAGGTAGACCATATGGCTGCAGTTACTTTGAGGCCTCCTTTTCATACCCAGGGTATTTTATCATTACAGTGCTGGGGACTGAACCTAGGGCCTCATGGATGCTAAGTGAACTCTACCACTGAGCTTTATCCTTGGTCTTGGGGAGGCTGAGGCAGGAGGATCACTGAGTTCAAGGCCAGCCTAGGCCACAAAGTGAGTTCAAGGCCAGAGAAACTGAACTGCATAGGGAAACCCTGTCTCAAAAAGACAAAGAGAAAATTTTCAGGTAAGTTCCCCAGGCAGGCCTTCAGATTTGCAGTTTAGCTGCCTCAGCCTCTCAGGTAGCTGTGAGTACAGGTATGCCTCTCTGCATCTATCTATCAGGGAAGTCAGAAGAGGACTGGGCATGGTGGTACACACTTGTAGTCCCAGCACTCAGGCTGAGGCAGGAGGATCACGAGTTTGAGGCTAGCCTGGACCACACAGTCTCTTTCTCAAAAAAAGATGAAACTTTCAGCTTTTAGTCATTGTCATTGTATATATTTGTGTTCCTTGTGTATTCATGTGGCTGGGATTATTTTCACAAAATTTACAATAGCCACTCCGAGTCATGCTCACTAGCGAAACAGACAGTGTAAACCACACAGTGGGTTACAAGGTAGGCTTCCAGAGGCCCTGATGCAGGGAACAGTGCCAAAGTGCAAACGGGCTTTCTGCACACTGGAGATGCAAAAGATCTAGTCCGAAGTGGAAGGCTTGGAGCGCAGTGTAGTGTACCGCGGGAGTGTCAGGAAGCTGAAGGGGCTGTGCCAGGAGACGGACGTCTAAGGCAAAGATGGTGAGAAACAAGTGAGCCTGCCTTTCCCCTCGTCCACACGGGTGCAAGCATATGGGTCTCGGCAACTCCCGCCCAGGGTGGGTCTTCCATCTCCAGTAAATCCTTTCAGTCACACATAGTGTTATGCTCAGGCAGTCAGCTGGGCATTTTGTACTCAAAGGGAAACAACTCACAGCCACAAAGGAATGGTATGAAACCGACCCTGGTGCAGGTGAACAATAGCAAACAATAGTGATCCAGTGTCATCCTCCCATTTTTGATACAGGACAGCTGCCAAGTGAAACTTCTGTAGATTACAGTTACCACTAAGCACCACCAGAGTAGCAGGAAAGAAACTGAAAAATCATGGAAAATAATGATAAGGGACTAGTTAAGGATTAAAAAGTAATACATAGCCATGGAAGAACTGGGGCTGAGCAGGCTTTGAACCTATGAAGTGGTTATAACCTATGAAGTGGTTGCAAAAAGCCAAAGTACAAAAATCTCCAACTTATCTAGAGAAATTATCTGAAGGACTAATAGTGCTAATTGCAATTGTTTAATAAATTTTCAGGGTATTTTTTTTCTTTATTTTTTGAGCCAGGGTATCAGTATGCAGTTCAGGCCAGCCTTAAATTCATTTTGTAACCCAGTGGTCTTCCTGCCAAAGCCTCCTGAGTGCTGGGACTATGAGCATGCACCACCACACCTGGTCCTTATATTATCTTGACAGGATTAAAATGTCAAATTAGTAGCTGGTAACGTAGCTCAAGGCAGTGTTTCTGGGTAGTCTCTAAAAGAGGATCACCAAATAAAAACGGGATCTTGTGTTTCTTACATCTCCTGGAAGCTTCCAGGTTCTCATCTTGAACAAAGAATTGAGTGAAATAAGCAAAAAGAAAAAAAAAAAAGGCCAGCAAGGTAGCTCAGCAGACTAAGCACTTGCTTAGGCAAGCACAGGGACTGGGGTTTGATCCTTGGTACCACGTACACCGCCGGCCCCACCCCCAGGTACACTGAGCCTGCCACCAAGTCCAGGAGTGGTGGCACATGCCTGTAATCCCAGTGCTGGGGAGGTGGAAAACAGGAGGATCACTATGAGTCCAAACTGTGTAGTGAGACCCTGTATCAAATACATAAAAAAAAAAAGAAAAAAAAATGCTAGCAAAGTTTACTTGAAAAAGTAAAAGTGAAGAATGAGGGAAAAACTGGCTCCCAGAAGGTATAGGGCAGGATATGATGAGGAAGTCATGTGGGCAAGCACTTTGTGGCTTCTGTCTCCTTTTATGCCTTCCAAATTTCAAGGAAACCTGCAAGAACTTTACGTACAGGTCCTGAGAGGCAGTGCTGGGCTTCCACACCTCAGGCTGAGGATCTTATTGAAAACCTAGGTGATCCCATTGAAAACGTGCTGGAGTTCCAGAAGTCCATGTGCAGGGCTTTGGGAAATGTTCTGTCCTTGTGTTTGGGGATCTTGTAATGAACAGGTCAGGCCCACTTCCCCAGCCTTATGATCAAATCTCTATACTTTATTTGGTGAACTCTCACATAATGCTGCCTAAGGAAGTCTGAGGTATTGGTAATGTTCCCATCCCTTTGTACTTTGGCTTTCTCTAAGGGAGTTGGAGATTTTTGTACTTTGACTCTAAGAGAGTTGGTGATTTTCTTGGGCTGACAATTATACTTCTGTAGGAAAAGTAGTTATAGGACCAGTTTTCTCTCATATTTGTAAATAATCTTCATTGGACCTGTCTTGGCCATTAAACTGTATTTTAGACATAAGTCATGGTTTGGGAAAATTGGGAGGTATTTATAATAGTGCAGTTGAATAACAGTATTTGACCCAAATTGTTGAGCTGTCAATGACAGTGTTTTGGTTTTTTTTTGAGGGGGGAGGTTGGGGACTGGGTTTCACTATGACATTCAGGCTGGTCTTGAGCTTACTTTGAAGCCCAGGCTAGTTTTGAACTTGCCATGATCCTCCTGCCCCAGCCTCCCAAATGCTGGGATTATAGGCATGCACCCTGGGGCAAGAGTGTCTTTTTGTTGTTGTTGTTTTTTAACATGCTTTACAGTAGAGGGCCACCATGCCCATTCTCAATCGCATCTCAGGGCGCCCTGGGGGCGGGGCTGCCATGGCATGCGATGACCTCAGACTTTGTCATCTCTCTATGCTCAGTGATATTAAGAGGCCAATGAAATTGCTATTTGTTGAATCAGTATTGGGTCAGGGAACTCAGTCTGAAGAGATAAGAGCCAAAGAGATAAAAACCAAAGCATTTTCCCTGTGCATTCATGTATACATTTTTTTTTTTTTTTCTTTTTGAGATACTGGAGATCAAAGATGGGTCTTGTGCATTCTAGGCCAGTGCTCTATCACTGAAATACAAACCCAGCCCCAAGTACTTTTTAATATGTATGCTTTTTAACACTTGTGGGCAGTTTAAATATTAGGCTCCCAAGCAAACATTTGAGAATAGGAATTTACACTCAAGGAATAGAGGACTTTTATCACTGTTAACGCTGCCTTTTGCAGATCATACTTGATAAATTACCCAAGGCCATAGAATAAATCCGTTTTATTCACCAATATATACACAAAACAAAAACAAATCTATGCTCAAAGCCCTGCGGAATACCGTTTCTTAAACACCTGTTGTAAGCGAATGCACAAGGCAATCCGGTGCACTAGATGGCAGGCCGCTGGAAGCTGAGTGCATATTTTGAGGTCACACAGCCTAGGTTCCACTTCCCAAACCGTGTGACTCCGGCCCCTCGCCCTCCCCAGTAGCAGTACTCTACAGCAGCCTGACGGAGCTCGGTGCGTCCATATTTCCAGTGCTGAAAGCGAACGATTAGGATATCAGCTGAAGAAGTCAAGGCCAAAGCAAAATCCAAAACCGCAACGATGACGTTTAGACACACGTGATAGTACGTCAAGTGCCGGTCAGGCCGAACACCTGACCAACCTCGCCTTGGGGGCCTGACTACAACTCCCGGCATGCACTGCACGGTCCGGCCCTCCCGGCCTGTGGGTCCCGGAGGTAGCGGCCGAGCTGCCCGTCTGGCGGGGCCCCTCCGACCGTCCACAGCGGCGCCTTCCCTACTGTGGGCAGGACATATCCGCCTTCGCTACGCTGCCTCGTGCCCCGGCGCAGCGCCACCCCCGCCTCGGCGCCGCCCGGGCAGCATGGCCCACCAGCTTCCTGTCAGGCTTCCGCGCCCGGCGCTTATCGGGGACCGACTGCTGGGTGGGCGTTCCGCTCCGAGGACCCCGGCGCGACCCCGGAAGCGCCTCGTTCCGGGCGGCGGAGGCGCGGAGGTGTCCGTGATGGCTTCGGGGTTGGGCAGCTGACCGCTGGGCGAGGAAGGGGCCCAGCGTCCAGGGTCTGGCGGCTGCGCCATGGCCACCTCCTCCGCCTCCTCCGAACATTTCGAGAAGCTGCACGAGATCTTCCGCGGCCTGCATGAAGACCTACGAGGAGTGCCCGAGCGGCTGCTGGGCACCGCCGGGGCTGGTAGGCGGGGGCGGGACCGGCGGCGGGGAGCTCGGCCCTGCGCGCTGGGGAGCGAGAGTATGCGTCCCTGCTGCCCGCTGCTCTTCCTCAGACGCGCGCCCGAGGAATGGCGGGATCCCAGGGCCAGGGTCGCCTTGCTGCCACTTAGGGTGAACTAGGGACAGGCGGAGGGTGCAGGTCGTCTCCGTCGGATCCTCCTAGTAGACTTCCCACCTCGCTTCTCTTCTATTCCTTTGGCTGGAAGAGTATAAGGGCTTTAAAATCTGCTGGGGTTTCTTTTATAGGTTTGTATTTTGTTGCTTTCTTAATGTCAAGAGAGAGTCACCGTTTTCACTGACGGAGAAGGGGTTTGTAGTACAGAAAGGACCAAGAACTAGAAAGAATGGTGGCTTTTTTTTTTTTTTTTTTTTTTTTTTTTTCAGACAGGGTTTCGTCCAGTCTGGTCTTGAACTCACTATGTAGCGCAGGCTGGCCTCGAACTCTCATCGATCTTTGTGCTTCGAGTGCTGGGGTTACCGTGTCCTACTAGCCTGGCAAGAATCATAGTTTTAGGGGCTGTGCTGTAAGGGGCTGAATGGGAGTTTGCTAGGCCGAGAGGAAATGCAAAGAGGCAAGGAAAGAATTGAAAATCGCCAGCTATGGAATTACAGCGTGTATATGGGAAAATAAAACAGCAGATTGTGGAAGGACCTAAATGTCACATTAGGACGGTTTTTTTTTTTTTTTTTTTTTTTTTTTTGCGGAACCGGGGATTGAACTCAGGCCCTTGTGCTTGCCAGGGAAGCGCTTATCCCACTGAGCCATCTCCCCGGCCCCACATTAAGACGTTTGCACATGGCAGGGTGGATCCTTAAAGGAAATCCAACAGCTAATTAATACACACTTCAGGTCTAGGAGGGCTTTGATGGGTGAAGGATACAAGAGTGGCTGTGGAGGCTTATGCTAGGACCCTGGTGGCAGTCATCTAAGTAACACAGGAATGTAGAACATGAGTCCGTTCTTTTTATTTATTGAGATAGGATCTCATTGTGTAGTTCAGGTTGGCCTTGAATTAACTGTGTAGCCCAACCTGGCCTTGAACTCAGAAGCGCTCCTCCTGCATCAGCCTCCTGAGTGCTTGGGATTACAGGCGTATGCCAACCCCCACACTTCCCCGGCATGAGTTTTAGAGTGATTCTGAAGCAGAAATGAACCAATCAAAATGAGGCATGAGGAAGGAAGGATTTCTGTGTTTTCTCACTTGGTCAGCTGAGTGAACAACGAATTTCAGTAAGGAATACAAACCCAGCAGGGGCAATTTAGTGAGACCTTGTCTTAAAAAATAAAAAGGGCTGGAGATGTGTGTAGTTCAGTTTTTGCCATGAAAAGACACAGAGAAGTAGTCTTGCTTGGGTTTTGTACTAGAGCATCACAACTATCTGTAGAACAGATTATAAGTCCATTCTAGCCTCCCAAGATAGTTTCTCCTCCACTAAAAATAACATATATGTGGAGCATGTTGATATGAGTTGAGAGGCACTATAGTAATACTGGGGTAAAAGAATTCTAGAGTCAGACTGTTTGGGTTAAGTCCACTTGGTAGGTGTGTGCCTTGGTAAATTTTTGTAAAATAAGAAATATGACTATTTAATAGAGATAAACTATATAATTTCTTAACCAAATCCAGATATAGTGAAATAAATATGTGAACCTACAGCATTTTAATCATTTCCAAGTTACTTTAACCAAACTAATTTCCCCTCCAAAATGGAGAAAAAAATCAGAGCATCTAACTTCATAGTGTTCCTGTGAGAAATAAATGAGTGAATATATAGAAACCCCTTAAAGTGCTCCTCCAACCAGGTGTGGTGGCACACACCTGTAACCCCAGGATTTGGGAGGCTGAGGCAGGAGGAGCACAGTGAGTTTGAGGCCTGCCTGAATTAGAGAGTGAGACCTTGTCTCAGACGAACAAATAAAAACCTTAGAATACTGCTTGACATTAGTAAGAGCTACTAGCCATGTTATTAGTACTTGAGAAATTTGATCTTTTATATAATTGAAAAATAAGGATACCAGCACTGTAAACAACTAATCTTACCTTATTTTACTTACTTTTTTAACACACTAAACAATTTACATGTTTCTGATATTTATATTGTCTTCCTTTCACCAGAACAGTAGTTTCAAAGTGTGGGCTGTAAGCCAGTAGTGCTCTCATCACCCAGGAACTTGTAAGAAATGCATCTTCTCAGGCCCCACCTCAGACCTACAGAAGCAGAAACTTCTGACAAGCAGCTTGATTTTTGGTTGTTATTGTCTTGAGATACTGGGGACTGAACCAGGGCACTTGCACTGAGCCAATGTCCTCAGCCCTTTTATTTTTTATTGTGAGACAGAACCTCATGCCAAGTTACTCAGAGTTGCCCATCAAACTTGCTGTCCTCCTGCCTCAGCCTCCTAGAGTACAGAGATTGCCATTTCAGTACTCATAAATTGTATGTATTTACAAAAGTAGCAAAAAACAAGTGATACTTAGTTCCCAAAAGTGCAGTCTGTGTTCAGTTTCTGCTTTTGCAGGATACAAACAAAGGGTGCAGTTTTAGGAAGCTTTGTGGCAGTAATGATCCATTACCATCTGCTATAGTAATTGCTGAATATTGCATTAAGCACATATGTCATAATTTCCAATAATTGGTTTGTACTATTTGAAGAGGTTTCTCCAGGTACTGAAGAGTTCTTAATTGCTTAATCGAATGCATGTTGAGTGCCCAGTCATGATTTCTAGTTTTTATTTTATAATACTGGAAGGTATTTTTCAGTGTCAAAACGTGGTATATGATAAAATTATTGAAAGTGTTCCATTTTAATTCACTCACTTAGATTTTTAGTATTTTACATAAGATCCCGTTATTTTGTAAGCCAAAAAAAGCTCACTACTGTGGAATACTGTGCGCAGCCAGCTGATAACTAGTAATTGTTCAAAGTCTGCAGAATTTTAATTATTCCAACTCTGTACTCATTTAATTTTGTTTTTGTTCCTGGGTCTTCCTACCTAAGGATTTGCTTTTGGAAACAGTGGTAGGGGGCCAAGGATAAAGCTTGCTGGTAGAATGCTTGGAAGACCCTGGGTTCCATCCCTGGCATCACTTAAAAACCAAAAATAATCAGAGTTCCTAGTTATTAAAGCCTTGTTATGCCTGGCACTTGTTATGTGTTAGATAAAACAACCTCTCACACACCCCTGTGAGGTCAGTGCCGTTATATTCCCTGTTGACAGATGAGGAAATGGATTTAGAGGGATCTGATGGTTTTAACTCCTGTGCTGAGGTCAAGTTGTTAAGTCTGCTAGTAGGGACTGTTGGTAGCCAGAATGCCCATAGTGAGGCACCGGAAGCAGATGAACCACAAGCCCTTAGTCTTCTGGTCTAACTGAAGTCTGCAGTGCTCAGGGACCCATAGTAGCCATTCTTGCCCTGGTAATTCAACCCCCCACAAGGAATTGGGCCCCAGCCCTCAGGGGCATATTGAGGTAGGCTTTCTCTAGCTCATGTTTCCAAGCTGACTGTTCGCATCTTATTTCGTGCCCAGGAGATCGTGCCTCCACCATCCACCCACTTTACCAAAGGAGATGGTCTCAGTGAGTCCCTCCAGCATGAGAGGTTTGAGCAGGCATGGGGGTTAGGCATGCTGGTTCTGAAGTGGTTCATTCTTGTTTCTGGTACCTGTTCCATCCCAGGCAGTACTGCTGTTTATAGTTGGTTGTAGCATTAATTCTAACTAAAAACAAACAAAACAGTTGCTAAAGAATCTGTGCTGGGAGACTGAAACTGCTCTCAGTTGTGTATTATACACAGAAGCGCTGAGAGTCAGAGGCTTGCATCCTAGGCCTGTTGCAATACGCTTATGGGTCTTGGGGGAGCTGTTGAGCTGCTCTAGGCTCTCGTTTCTGGCAGACCTACTGCACCTTTGCCCTAAATGCTGTTTGTATCCTTGAAAGCTCTGAAAAATTCTCCATGGCTGTTCTAGGTGACCTCTGTGGTTCCTCCCTTTCTAGTGTTCCTTGGTTTCCCAGGGTAGAGGCAGCTGTTGATCCCTTTCAGGTGGGTAGAGGTATTTGGTTTTGGTTTTTCTTTGTTTGGTTTGGTTTTTTGCAAGGTCTCCCTTTGTTGGTCAGGCTGGCCTCGAACTCACATTCACAGCAGTACTGCCTCAGCCTCCCAAGTGCTGGGGTTGCAGGAATGTGCCACCCTGGGCTATTTGCCTTCCTGATTTCTCATCAGAAAGAATGGTTTTCAAAGGCTGTCTTTTGTTTTAAATCTGTGCACTCCATAAAGGATCTCATGAATGGGAACATCTTCAAATTATTTCCTAACATAGTATATTTCTTTTAAAAAATATATAAGCTGTAGAATATGAATAGAGGAATATGTGTATGAGAGCAGACAGAAAATAGAATATTCCAACTCCAAAAAGACTGAATAGAATAATTACATAGGGAAGCCAGTGAAAGATAGAGCTACTGTTCTTGAATCATTCTAGAATTTGTCCATTGAGAATGCAGATTCTTCAGATTATTAACAAAGGAAAAGTCAAGGAGGAAACAGAACAGTTGTAGAAAAATGTGAGCTAGGAAGGAAGGAAATGTATGCATTTGTACAGCACCGCTTCAGCTGCCATGCTTGGATCAGGAGTGGGTGTGCCTGGTTTTGGCGATGCGCCTTGTCACAGCAATGGGGACATTGAGGACTTCTGTGACAGCCTGCTATAAAATCACAGTACAGCTCATAGAACCGGTAACATTTATGAGAGGTAAAAGTCTAGAGGCTGTGGACAGAGTTAAAAAGGGAAAAAAAGTAAATTTCCTGGTTCTAGAGGAGCTTGATCTCAAGTTGAGACCATAGAATTAATGCATCCAAAATGCTTTTGATCACTTGAAAAGCACAGGCAGCTAACATTAAATGCAGTTGTGATTAACACTGTGTAAACCTGCATGAAGAGTTACTAATGTTGCATCTTGTGTGAGGTTAGGGTCAAAGGTTGGGGCCTAATGTGAAAATCAGGTGGTCACAATTATCCACAAGCTTGGGATGTAGCTAGCTGGTAGAGTATTTGCCTAGTACCTATAAGGTCTTCGGTTCAACAAAAAACAAAAACCCCTCAGGACAGCATATTGAATTGCCACATGCCACCTCCTCAAGCCCAGCTTATCTGTCTTCTTTGACATCAGGAAAGATTGCTCTTCTTTCCAACAGAAATGCTGGCTTTTCCCTAGGAGTCACATTGAATAAAAAACATAGTTTTGAAAGATGCTGTTACCATTCATTCCGCATGAATGAACGTTTAGGACATGCTGAGTGAAATCAGCCAAGCAGGACAAATGTGTGATCTTCCATGGATGGTAGCCCTGGAGTAGTGAAACTTGTAGAATGGCTAGTGCGTTTAATGGCTGTGGAGATTTCATTTTGAGGTAAACAAGTTCTGGAAATGAATCTTGGTGATGATTTCATAGTGGTGTGAATACACTTAATTCCCCTGAACTGTGTTTCTTAAAACGTTCAGACTGGTAGACTTTATGTTCTTTGCCAAAATTAAAAATAAAAAAAAGATAAAGGACTGTATCCCCAGACTAAAAATAATTATGAAAGATGAGAGTTCAGTGAACACCGTAAGCGATGATAACTTGGTGCTAAAAAGTAGATGTTGTGTAGATTTCTAGAAATAACTACTTATTTGAATGTGTGTATATATACATATACGCTCCTTGTAAATGGGGCTAATTTCAGCTTATTAGATGTGAAAGATGACCTACTTTGTAGGTCAGATCTCAGAAGAGATCAGATGTCCGTATTTTCCTGTTGAGGTGAGCTGAGGACTAAGCTAGGTTCTCCCTTTACACAGGCATGTTTTTTTCCCCAGTTATCTTTTTTTTTTTTTTTTTAATTAGTACGGGGTCTACAGGGTCTCAGTGCACAGATCAGACTCAGTGATCCTTCTGTTTTCAGCCTCTCAAGCACTGGGATTATAGGCACACTTCACCATGCCCAGTCTCAGTTGCTGTCTCAGTGCACCCCAGGGGTAGGGCCAGCACGGCAGGCCAGGGATCGAACCCCGGTCCCTTGCCTGTCTATGCAGGCGCTTTAGTCCACTGAGCTATCTGGCTGGCCCTTACCTATCTTTTATTTTGCTTTTTATTTATATTTGGCGTCTCATCTAAGAGGAACCATGTGATATATAAGCCTGCACGTCTGATTTATTTCATTTACTACTGTGTCGAGATGCATCCATCTTCCCACAGATAATTGAAGTTTATCCTTCTGCATAGCAGAATAGTGCTCCATTGTGTATAAATACATTTTCTTTATCCTTTGAGCATACGGGCCACTTTTAAGATTTAACTGGTGTGAGTTATGCTGATTCGGATGTGGGTGGCATGCATCACTGTAATAGGATGTCTTTAACTTTCTGGGGAATACACCTAGAAGGGGACTAGCTAGGTCTCATACACGTTTACCAGGTGACAGCATTTAAAATACTTTCCTAACTCTTGCCACATTCTGTGCCATTTTTACCGTTAATCATTTCTCTAAACAATTTTTTTCATGTAAAATACATTTAATTTATATATAGTTACTTGGAAACTTGATATTATTAAATAGAAAAACTCCGTATTCCAAATGATGAGGAAAAAAGTATAGTGAAGGCAAAATTTACTTGTCCAATTAGATGTTTTTGGTTTGAGGCTAAAGCTTGTTCTTTTTGTTAAAAAGAAGAGGTTGGTCATTCTTAGGTAAAGACAGCACTGGAAGAAATGACATTGGGGTGGGGAGGCTAGACGAAAACTGAAAGGGGAGTAAGTTTGTGTGAGCCATCACCACACCCACACGGTCAGTGACTGGCAAGGCACCAGCAAGCAGCAGCCATAGAGCTAGGGTTTGCTTGGCAGAAGGCAGTGATTGAGGGTTAATGTAGAAGTGACTTGCCTTGGAGGCGAGAGAGGGAACAGAGATTTCGGAGAGCCCATGTTGGTAAATGTTCTTAGCGTTGCAGGTATGCCCAGTGGTCCTGCGGGAGGAGGTGTGAGGAAAGGGTAAGAATGACCATTAGACCTGTCTGTTTCTAGGGGGGCTGATGGCTTGGGAAGCCACTTTCAGGCTGGACTGTCCCACGTGGTGCGCTTGCTCCCCAGGCCTACTAGTGGAACACAGTAGTTCTCCCCTCCACAGTCACTGTCCCCACCACCAAGGAGGAATGTTATCCTAACCAGTGGCCTCTGCAAATGTGTGGAAGCAGTGGTGAGCAAAACTTGTCTCTCTTTTGTAGAGGAGAAGAAGAAGTTGGTCCGAGATTTTGATGAAAAGCAACAGGAAGCAAATGAAACGGTAAGAAGAAGGTTCACATCCTTATTTCCGCTGCTTGGCGTTGGCCTTTTCTGAAGGAGTGCTGTAACCTGATCACAGATGAACTGTTCCTGGTTTGCTTTTTTTTTCTTCCTATTCCTGACTGTTGATCTTGATAGTTTGACTATTTCTTAGATGGTAGGGATGGGTGTCGAGGTTTTACAAAAACAAGTGATAGGTAAAGTTAGAAGAAATACATACTCTTTCTTTTTACATTTGTATGATTGATGCGTTTGCAACACATCATGATTGTATGCCCCCTGGGGAGCTGGACTAAGTACACAGCGCCACTGGGCCTGGTTTCCATCCTCTCTCCCTCCCTTCCTCCAACTCTGGTCCCCTTTCCTCTTGTTTAAAATCTGTCTCCCTATTTCCTGCGATCTTTTATCTTGGTCCATATTTATATTTTGGGTTTTTCATAGACGAGAAGCCATGTGATAATTACACTTGTGTGCCTGGTAATATATTCTTACTATCTATGTTGAGGACATTTTCTCACACCTTGCCCAAGCAGTCTTTTAAGTACTGGCCGTGAAGACAGGTTACTGTGGTTTTATTGAAATTACTGTCATAGAAAATGTTACTCAGGTGGTTCTGCATGCTCCTGTCTTAACATACAGCGAAATGGCTAGATGCAGCTCCTTGTACAAAATGTGCAAAAATAGGACGAATGTCTTATTTGGAACCCAAAGTCTGTCAGAAGTTAGTTCTGGCTAATGAGCAATCTAAGAATGGCTTCTCTTTTACCTGTGGGTTTTCTTTATTTTATTTTTTTCTTTTTCTTGGTACCAGGGGTTGAACTCAGGACCTCACACTTGCCACGCAGGTGCTTATGCCGCTGAGCTCTATCCCAGGCCCCTACCTGTGAATTTTCTTTCACAATATGTTTTACCTCTCACCCCTTGAAAGCAAGGGTTTCTTTTAGCTCTGTCTCATGCTCTGGCTTCAGCAAACCCACGTAGGTTGGATGATATCCAGGTCCTTTGATTCTGTGCAGAAATCATCACACCTAGTTTCTAGTATTGCTAAGAATTTTGGGGCAAAATTCCTTTTTTTGTTGTTGTTGTTGGTTTTTTTTTTTTTCAAGGTACTGGGGATGGAACTCAAGACCTTGTGCTTGCCAGGCAGGCACTTATGCCACTGAGCTAGATCTCCTGAGTTCCAAAAATTCTTTTTAGATAGGAGGAATTCTTTCTTTGTTGAGGATCAGTCTCACAATATCCCAGTGAAGTTCTGAGAGGTTAATCTTACCTGCTTATCTTTTTCTCAGGTAGGTATTATTTTAAACAGAGCCAGGCCATTAAACCTTAGAAACTCTCTGTGAAGGATTTTTGTTGTCATTGTTGTTCGCTTAGGCTGCCCAGGACTGGTAAGGCAGGTGGAGCTGGGGATTGAACTGCAGTATCCTGCGCCTGACTCATTTGCATGATCAGGGCTTAAACAACTGAGCTAACAGGCAGGCCCTCTGAAACTCTCTTTGTAATGGGAGTGCCAGACAGTTTTCTTTTTTTAATGTGTTTGGTACAGGGTCTCACTACACAGCTCAGACTTGTATTGATCATCCTGTTTTCAGCCTTAGGACAGTTTTCTTACTACCATCGTCCAGCTGGATTTATCCAAGCATGGGTGAGGTAACCAGTCTTCTCTTTGAGTTCATATCTTGGAAGCATTTTAAAAACCTAGCCACAACCAGTTAGTTTGGTATTTGTTCAAGATACTTCCTTTTCCTGGATTTAGCAACATTAACAGTCTACTCTGGCCATCCCAGGAAGATTAAAATTAATTTAGGGCCTCTTGTGACATGTCTAGGTTTTTTTTTTTTTTTTTTTTTTTTAACTCATCTCAAAATGGTGGAAGTCTGATTCCCCCAAAAAAGCTGCTTTGGGAACATTGTCTCTGATATGGAGACAAAGACACAGTCATTTCCAGAAAGAGGAGAAAAAGAGGAAGCCTGGTGCCAGAATCCCCCCCCCTCCCGTATTGGGAGTTGAACTTGGGACCTTGTGCTTGCCAGGCAGGTGCTTATGCCACTGAGCTATATCCCTAGCTCCTGCCTCTTTTAAAAATTTTTATTTTGAAGAGGAAAAAAATCAAAACAATGAGTAACAATGGTTGATACATTGCATAATTTTTTTACATTGCATATTATTATTTTTAAATTAGTTACTCAGAGTACAACATATAGGCATTTAATTGTCCGAACAAAATTAGGACAAATCTTTCTTTTCAATGAATTAAATTAGTAGTATAACTATCTTATACATACATACTTTTTTTTCTTTGCTTTTCCCTTCTTTCCTCCTTTCCACCATCCCAGTTTGTCTTTCCTTTGGAACACTTTCTTCCTATTTCATTATATCTGTTCTACATTTTGGATCTTATTTACTCTTTCAGCTTCTCATGCTAGGGAGACAATACTGTGTTTACGCATGTGACTCTGATTTACTTCACTTACAAGTATGGTCTCAAGTTGTATCCATTTACCTGTAAAAGTCTCTAGTTTATCCTTATTTATGGATGAGTAGTACTCCATTGTATGAAAAGGCCATGTCTATTCATTCCTTGATGGATGGGCATTGGATTGTTTCCAAGGTCTAGCTATTACAAATTGTTCTGCTATAAATGTGGGTGCTCATACATCACTGTAGTGTGATGTTTTTAGTTCTTCTGGAGAAATACTCAGCAGGGGACTAACTGGGTCAAATGAGACCTCCTATCCTAGTTTTTTGAGTAATCTCTACCCTGATTTCTTCAGTGGTTACCAGTCTACACGCCCAACAGTGGAGAAGGGTTCCTTTTTCCCCCACAGCCCCTCCAATATTTGTTATTCATTGATTTCTTGATAATCGCCATTCTTTCAGGGGTGAGGTGGAATCTCGGTGTTGTTTTAAATTGTATCTCTTGAGTGACCAGTGATGTTGAACATTTTTTCATGTATTTATTTGCTGTTTGTATTTCTTCATTTGAGTAGTATGTTTCATCTCAGGTGCCCAGTTTTGCATTGGGTCTCTAAGTTTGGGAGGACTGATTTTTTTTTTTTTGAGTTCTTGATATGTTCTCAGTAGTAATCTTTCGTCTGCAGAACAGCTGGCAAACATTTTTCCTACATAGTCAGTTGCCTCTTCAGTCTGTTAGTAGGTTTATTTATTTATTTATTTTGCTATGTAAAAGCTTTTTTTTTTTTTAAATATTTATTTATTTATTTATTTGGGTGTGTGTGTGTGTGTGTGTGTGTGTGGCCAGCTCAGCCCACCAGGGGGTGGAGCTGGCTGGCATGTGGTGCTGGGGGATTGAACCGTGGTCCCTTTGTGTTGCTAACCTTGTTCTAAGTAGGCGCTTTAGACCACTGAGCCATCTCACCAGCCCTTTTTTTTTTTTTTAATTTTTTTTTTTTTTTTTTTTTGTAAAAGCTTTTTAATGAGATCCCAGTTGTAGATTTTTTATGAACCTTCCTGTGTGATAGGTTTTTTTTTTATTCATAAGGTCTTTACATGTGCCAATATCTTCAATAGTTTTACTAATTCTATCTTCCATCAGATTTGATGTTTCTGTTTTAATATTTAGATCTTTGATCCATTTCAAATTTAGTTTAGTATGTTTAGTATATGGTGAAACATATGCATCTGTTTTTTACCTTTGGCATATGCAAAGCCAGTTTTCTAGCACCATTTATTTGAAAGGCTGTCTTTCTTCCAATGAATGTGTTAGGTACATTTGTCAAAGATAAGGTGGCTGAGTATGTCTCGAGTTGTTTCAGCATCTTCTCATCAGTTCCATTGATCCTTGAGTGTGTGGAGGCTTTTTTGGTTTGTTTATTTTGCCAGTTCCACACTTTTTATCACAGGAGCTTTACACTGTATTTGAAATCTTAGATTGTGATGCCCCTGCCTTGCCTTTGTTACCCAGAATTGCCTTTGTTATTCTAGGTTTGTTCTGCTTCCAGATGAATTTTAGGAATGTTTTCTCTAATTCTGAGAGATATGCTGTTGGAAGTTTGATCGGAATTGCATTCTGTGTAACTGTTTTGTCCATCTTCACTACGTTGGTTCTTTCTACCCATGAGCAAGGGATATCTTTCCATTTTCTGGTATTTCTTATCTTCTTTTTCAACACAGAGGTCTTTATAGCCTTCATTAGATTGATTCCTAGGTATTTCTTTTTCTTTTTTTTGGATGCTACTATGAAAGATTGTTTCCCTAAGGGGCCGGGGAGATGGCTCAGTAGAATAAGCGCTTCCCTGGCAAGCGCAAGGGCCTGAGTTCAATCCCTGGTTCTGCAAAAAACGGTTTCCCAAGTCTATAAACTGTCAGTTTAGAAACACTCCCTTGGGACCAGAAGTTTGGATAAACATTGAAAAAAAAAAGAAGAAAGGTTGTTTCCCTAAATTCTCTCTCAGTGCAATTTTTATGTATAGAAATGCTATTGATTTTTGAGTGTTAACTTTGTAATCAGCTACACTGCTGAATTTGCTTATTAAATCTAGTAATTTTTAGTGCAGTTTTGGGGTTCTTCTATGTAGAGTATCATGTCATCTGCAGATAATATTTAATTTCTTCCTTTCCTATCATTATTCCTTTTTTTTTTTTTCCCTCCTCTTGTTTAATTGCACTGGCTAAAGTTTTGAGGACTGTTTTTTTTTTGTTTTTCCCCTGTCCTTTTGAGCAGATCTCACTGTGCAGTCCAGACTGGCCTTGAGCTCACTTTGTAGCCCAGGCTGGTCTTGAACTTAAAGCAGTCCTCCTGCCTCAGTCTCCCTCCCAAGTGCTGAGATTACAGGTGTGCGCCATCATGTCCTCCTTCCAGAACTGTGTTGAATTAAGAGTGTAGACAGTGGACATCCCTGTCTTGTTTCTAATTTTAGAGAAAGGTTTCAGTTTTTGTCCATTTAATATGATTTTGGCTGTTGGTTAGATGGCTTTTATCAGATTGAGATAAAAGAGCATCTATTCTAATTTTCTGTAGGGTTTTTAATCAATAAATGC